CTCTCGGTTTCCAACAGCGCCTGCATCGCAATTTGCGTGAGGTTCTCCTTGTCTACCACCACTATGAATGCCAGCTTGTGGCTATACCTGGTGGGGGCAGACGTAAGACAGCGGCACAAAGCACCAACGTCGGGCATGGCGCGCCGTGGTGGTGGAGGGGGGGGGCATGACGTCACACAGCGGTACAAAGCACAACCGTCGGGCATGGCGCGCCGGTGACAGCGCTGTCCACGCACAGCAACAAGCTACCTCACGGCACGGCACTGTTCGGACCAGGTCGGGTGCTAAAGGGAGCATAAAACACAGCATGCCCGACACGCTATAGCAGCACTCACTTGCTGGTGTTGAATGTGGTGTCTGATACGATGATGGGAAAGTATTTCTCCGTGTTGCGCCGCTGCTCCTCGTGTGCCCAAGCAATGTCCGTCAGGCGGTTCTCCTCGTCGAGCTTGAAGTTCTTGAAAGCGCCGTCCTCCTCGAGCTGGTGAAGCAACTGCTGGGCGTCGTTCAAACCACCGCGGCTGTTCTGCTTGTCCTTGTCGAACTGCGCCCTCATGAGACGCAGCTACCGCCCAACACGCACGATCACAGGGGATGTGGTTGGCTTCACGACACTTCCAAAGTCAATCGAAGGTAGGCATTTCGGACGCCAACATGCTCAAACGACGTTAACATTATGGTCACGGCGCTACGTATGGGACGCGTTGAAAGCCATTGCCGCCGGAGTGTATACCGTGATACTCCTCGGACTTAATGTACTACCCCGCCCTACCCTTCTGTCTGTCGCGTCAAGAGCTAAACCCCTCCCTAGCTCACCATCTGTTTTCCTTTGTCTCCCAGTCTCTTTCCCGTTTCTTGCAGGTATTTGTAGATCTCCGCCGTTTTGATGCCTTTCTCGTGCATCTTCTTGATGTTGGCGGATTCTGCTTCGAGATCCTCCCTGGTCATCTCGTTATCGATAACGCGCGGGGGGTCGTGCTCGATTCCTTCCGAACCCTGGTACGTGTGCCGCAGGCAAACGTCCTGCTTCGTTGGGGAACAAGGACGTGGGCACGCCACGAGTGTTTGCGGGCAAGCGCAGGAGGTCACAAGAGGCATAACACTTTGTCACACGGAACGACGCACGCTCCTCTGCCTGCCGTCCTACGCGCTGAGGAAGCTTGCCTTGCGACTGGCTCTGGTTCACGCCAAAAAACACAACACAACTTCCACGCGAAAGTACTGAATTGCCATGAGTCAAACCCTTTTGCACTAACGCTAACACACCTTTCCAAGGCTCGGCGCATCGCTGTTGGCGCCCCAGTACAGGGAAAGCCCCCACTTGCATCCGAACTACCATTCATTGTGGATTGAGAAACAGCGCGCACAAGAGGAAGCAAGGCATTAGTCACAAACGCCTGTCTGTGCCGGTGGCGAGGCGTTTTCCGTTCAAATCATTGCGGAAGGACTTGAAGCAAAGATCACAAAACGCACCGCACGACAACCCCCGCACGCACCAACTGTCGATACGTGCAAAACAACGCGCGCATCTTGTCGCGATCCTAACAAATACTGCGGCGCAGACAAGGCGCAGGAGGTATGGTCGATGGAGCGCGCGGTTGGAACGAAGCAATGCAAGACAGAGGCGGCAAAACCCGCAGCAAAACACTGAAACTCCCTGGCTATAAGCTCTGCATACGGGTGGATTGGCAGAGAGTGCGGCCCACATGCAAAAACAGCACACAATAGCCACCGCCGACCTAGGCTGATTCACACAACAGCCATTCCGCAAAGGGTGGAAAATCGTGGATGATTCCCCGACTTCTATACGCACACTCCATGCCGTATGCAGCTTGCAACCTTGACTACCTGTCCCAGCATGTACACCAAACGAAGGACAACAGCACTTTTACCCGCGAACCTCATGTCAATTCAGTCCACCTCGAGCAACCATGAGGAAATGTGCACGCGGTCATGGCTGCGTCGGGCAGAAAATCAGAAAACAAGTACCTTCTTGTTAGATGTCTTCTTGCGAGCGTGGACATCCGCGGTTATTGCGGTCTCTCTGGGTTGCCCCGAATGGATACACTTGATCTGCACGCAGTTGTATCTGTTGCGCCTCCCGGACGTCGACTTGGAGGCCTTCGTGAAGAGCTGGGCGGTGGCAAACACTTTCGGCGGTGAATATTTGTATGTATGTGGAACAACGGGTTCACATGTCACTTGTTTGTTGTATCGTCGAGTGTACCTAGCGGCTTTGTGACCACGGCCTCCCATGGATCTTTTGGAATAGAGACCGAATCGAGAGCTAATGTGGCGAAGAAGCAAACAAATACTTCGTAAACAACATCGCTATCGCTGGGCTTTCAGTCGGCCAGCCTAACAAACCGAGCCTATAGCCAGGTGCATCGTGCATCAAGAGTGCCGTTTTCGGTGGAACGCACCTTCCCGCACACCAACGCAGAGCTGCATGCCAGGGAAGGGGAAGGAGTCACGACGGGGAAGAAGGGTACATTGTCATCCTTTCGCAAAAAGCTGTTCCATAGCTCACCTTCGATTTTTTGTTCATCTGCAGAGCGTATCCGCATCCGACGGCCTCCTCGCCCATCTCAAACGCTTTCCGCCATGTTTTGTCCCCGTACTCTCCTGACCCGTCTTCGAGGTTGGGAAACACCAGGCCGTTGAGTCGTTCGTGAAGCTTCAAGATCTCCTCTGTGCAAACGCCATACATAAATGGGCCGAGGGAAACGAAGTTCGACGTTGTTAGCCATCCGCCGTCAAACTAGAGACAAACCTCATGCCAACATGACCGAGACGATGCAGCGATGCGTAGTGTAAGATAAAGTTCACCATTATAGTCCAGACTAGTCAGCGATAAAGTTTCACCATTAGACTAGTCAGCGCTGACTAGTCTAATGGTGNCGTTCGTGAAGCTTCAAGATCTCCTCTGTGCAAACGCCATACATAAATGGGCCGAGGGAAACGAAGTTCGACGTTGTTAGCCGTCCGCCGTCAAACTAGAGACAAACCTCATGCCAACATGACCGAGACGATGCAGCGATGCGTAGTGTAAGATAAAGTTCACCATTATAGTCCAGACTAGTCAGCGATAAAGTTTCACCATTAGACTAGTCAGCGCTGACTAGTCTAATGGTGTAACTTTATCTTACAAAAGATACACGCTCAGCTCATTAGCACCCGGCTGGATCACTTGGGTCTATGGCTTGTTGAGAGCAGGGATCTCCGGGGCCGGACCCCTCGCCAGGCGCTGATATTAGTTGTAGGTGCACTTTTTTTTGTAATGAAAAGTGATCCAGCCGGTATTCGAACCCGTGCGTGAAACTTTTGCCGCCATTTATTATTTCATTTGTCTATTTAGTCAGTGCTGACTTGTTTTACGGTGTAACTTTATCTTACACGTACGAATGAAATCATGATACGTACGCCACATACTTCCACACTTGCAGACCTGGCGCAAACGGCGGGGGCTGCACCCGCTGGAGGCGATACGTTTGTGTCGACCGCCAGCTGCAGGTCGATACGAGCTGAGTTTCCGCTCGGCGTGGTGTCGCGCCTAATTTCATCTTCGCCACCAACGTCCAACACGGCTTCCTCCTCCTCCGTGCAAACGTCATGTGTCCCGCTGGAGGTCTCCGTGGAAAGCACCTCCTGCAGCGACGCGCCGAGGTCTCCAGCGAATCCAGCAACGTCGTCAATACTAACGTCGTCAAAACTTTCGTCGTGAAGAGCACTGGCAGACGCAGGAGAAGTCTCCGCACCAGAAGCAGCTGCCTCCATCCTACTTGAGTCCTGGACAGGTTCTTGTCAGCCGTCAGAGCCGTCGCCGGTGCGTGCGGTGGGCGTGGTGTGTTGTGTACGCGGTGGTGTGTTGTGCGGGCCGTGGGGAATTCAAAATTCAAAATGGGTTCTGTAAGGATGGTTCTGGAGGCGTTTTTAACTTGTGCACGGAAAGTCGCACATGTACCGGGGTATTAACGCGCCCTTAATCATCCAGCAAATGTATCCAACACCAATGTTCGCAGACCCACGAAGAGGTATACCCAGCGGCGTCAACAATTTTTTTCATGTACCCACTTATGTCTTTATTTTGACCCACTTTTGTCCAAATTGTACCCACTTGTGTCCACTTACGGACGGCGGAAATCGAGCGGAAATCGACCTCCACGTCACCGCACGGCACAACATCGATAGCCTCGGAACGTCTCCGAACCTCCCAACTCCGTATCCATGGCATCTTCCCTATCCATGGCTGCCGACTGCGGACCGACTGCGGAGGAACATGTCAGAAACATTCCAGGCCCCTTCGGTACCGGCACGGGAGTATACCAGGCACGGGAAGATGCTCACGGCAAGCCCGGCAACAAGCAACGCACTAACGGCACGCCACAAATAAATGTGTGGCACACAACGGACAACCTGCCCGACCTTGGGGGTGCTCACAACCTACCCCCAAGGTGACCTTTGGCCACCAGTGTAGCTATTGGCAGGGGCGTTACACCTGACGGGAATACCACCGCAAGCACGGGATTGTTCCGTCGATGACTTCCAAGTTTCATCGTACCCGAAGAGCCAAAGAGATGCACCACCATGGTGCACTACAGAGTAGTATCCTGTCAGACAAATCACCCCTAAAATCTGTCCTTTCTAGATCTCCGACATCAAGAGTGGACGCCAATTTGGATAATAAGTGGATGATGGATACACCTTGATCATGTGTACAGCGCCTGTATCTTCGCAGGTAGTGGGATGGAAATGGTCCAGATGGTAGCAGAGGGAGTTACATGTAATTCTGCGCTGTCGAGACCATAAGTTGGTGCTAAAAAGCAAGACCTTCAGGTACCCAACAGTCAGATGTCAACCACCGAGTATCCTGGCAGACCCTGGGAACCACATCATAACAATTGTCATACCAAAGCAGCTCTACCAAAGAGATGGCGCGGACAAAAGGATACCATGACGACCCAAATGATGATCCCGAGAGAGTAACAACCATAGACATAACTAGTAATATTACCGAATTGGACTCTTCCCAATCGGTGGAGATTTACCGAAAGCTCGGTGCACAGATGCGTTCACTACGAGGCGAGTCTGCCGTGTGTTCTGCTCGATTCAGCCGTCACGGCGCGCCATTCACGACTTCCAGATTCGCTCTGCGCGCTGCGGTATCGCTGAACAAAGCTGGGTTGCGGGGGGTCGCCCGTTCATTTCGCAAGACACTCGCTTTCGAATCTTCGGAGGGGTTGCTGGAAACGTGGACTTTTTTTTGTGCTCGCTCGCGCAGATACATAAGCGCTTTTTTCTTGCAGCATGTGGCTTGCCAGAGTGTTTGGGTACAAGCGCGCCGCCTGCGGCCTCGAGCTTCGACGTGGTGGCAGAGTTTCGTCCGCCTGAAGTCGTCGACCGGAATTTCCGGTGACGTCACACATACTTTCGCCAACATAAGGGTTCCGTCTCTTTGGCTGAACGTCGGAAATCGGCCCAGCCGCGCGTGTTCAGCCCACAGGAATACGTTTTTAAAAAAAATTGGGTGTGGCGTGCTACTTTTCTGCGCCGGTGCCATCCCGCACCCTTTGGGCTACGGAGTACATCTCCGTGCTGAGCTTTCGTGTGGGTGTGTTTGGGTCCGGTGCTGGATCTTCACGCATGGAATGCGGAGAGTCATTCAAAATTTTAGGCGGGTGTCGACTGCAAAGAGCACGCTTTATGGGAATTCGGTTCTTCTCATGGAATAGTGCCTGTTCCGATGCGGCGTAACCTCAGGTGCGGCGTAACTACATGTAACGCATTGTCTGAATTTGATCGCGGATAATTTGAATTTTGACGTGTTATCACTGTATCTGCTGCTCGGAATGCGGCGAAACGGAGCCTTGATTGTTGACGGACTCTCGATTAATTTGATGTTTGGGGCGTGCCTTGACTGTAAGTAACGTTTCATCTTCGTGCGCGTTCTAAGCATAAATATCAGCTATGAAGAAGCATAAATATCTGCTGCTCTGAATGCGGCCTAATTGCTGAATAAAACGTAACGCTTCGTCTTTATCACGAAGAACGGATGGGTCGCCCCGCCCCCACTAAATCATTCCCTCCAGCTTCCACCTTTACTACAAGTTTCGCACCCCGGAGTGAAAATGTTCTCTGGGTCTCCTGCCAAAAAGATCAAATCTTCCTCCTCAACCTCGAAGCGTAAGTTTATAGCCGGCAATCCTCTTTGGCCTTGCCCAAGCATCGTCTGCGTTCCCGGACTTCTGAAGGCGGTCCCCAAAACCAACGGAGGCCTTTTTTCGCCGTGCGATCAGAAGGACTCCCAAGACTCCACCACCTGCCAGGTTTCCTGCTCTATACTCAGCGCTCGCGGGTCTGACCCTCCTATCTGCCAGCTCTGCTTGACTTCCGTTGGAGGAACTCCGTCTCTCGGTGTGCTTTCGGGGGAGAAGAACTCTCAGGGCCGCGACGGTAAGCAACTCTCAACTCGCGCGCTGTTAACTTTTCTTCGTCATAGCGTGACGCGCACGGAGTCGTAGCAGGGCACGAAGTGTCACCACCTTCATATCGTAGGGCCACCACTTGCACCTCTCAACTGGCTCGCTGTAAATCCATCTGCGTCATATCGCGACGCGTCGCTTTGACTGTACTCGATGCAATTCAATTTTATGTATCAACCTTTCGGCCCTCCTCGGTGCAATCACATGTGTCACTCATGTAAATCCGGGTTTGTTTTCTGTTTGATCGAAATAATGTTGGGCACGAAGTGTCACCACCTTCATATCGTAGGGCCACCACTTGCACCTCTCAACTGGCTCGCTGTAAATACATCTGCGTCATATCGCGACGCGCCGCCCGCTTTGACTGTACTCGATGCAATTCAATTTTATGTATCCACCTTTCGGCCCTCCTCGGTGCAATCACATGTGTCCCTCATGTAAATCCGGGTTTGTTTTCTGTTTGATCGAAATTATGTTCCTCTACGCTACCTTCAACGCAGAGTGGCTGAATATTCACGCCTGTTGGACGATCTGCTGCGGGGCGAAGACCTCCGACGGAGAAAAATACAAGAACGCCACGCTCGCCACCGGCGACATCGTTGGGGTATGTATGTTCTGCTGTACTTCATGTCGTAACTTTAATGAGCTTGCGATTTGAAATAACGTCGTCAACTTCAACACGAACCTCAAAACATTAATCTGTTTCTTGCCCCCTTTTTCGCGTATTATTAACCGGTAACAGCGCGCCTGCAAGTGCTCAAACCCGGCATCCGACGTTGAGGACATCACCCACGGCTGCACCGGCGAAATCGAGGAAGGAGACTACGTCGTCAAGGACTGGATCGACCCACCGCTTCACCTTCACTGCGCCAAGCGACTGTGGCGCGCCAAGGTCGACGAGATCCTCACTTCCAAACAAAACCTCAAGGACATCGGCACGACCGCCCAGAAGGAAAGCGCGCAGCCTTCGGCGCCGGCCATCGACCTCTAAAGTAAGATCGATTCAATAGAACAAATTTTAACTTCAGCCTGCATTCTTGCGTGCCATCTGTATTTACATATATATTAAATTTGCCGTCCGCCAAGTGCATTTTAATTGTAATTTTATTCTCAATTTTATGCTCCATATTTTATTACCCCACCCCTCACAAGCCATAAGCGGATGCGTCCACCTCAAGTGCCTTCACGGCAAGAGCCAGACTCTCGTGTTACACGATCGTCGTCTCGGCGACAGTCACAGCAAAATCGGCGACAAACGCGTTCTGCTTCACGGGCAACCTCAGCTGCACGTCAATCTTTGGCACGACAGACTGCACGTAGAGAACATATTGTGCAACAAAACCGAAGACAAAACTCTCTTCGTCCCAGACCACCTAGACGGCCACCATACTGTGCAGACGATACCGATGACAGCGATGACTGCGAAATTACAGACGCAGATCGTAATACAAACAACGATAGGGAGGACGAAAACGACAACGACCTTCGAACAATTCAGAACCATTTCAACCGAATGCGTAATCGGGCACCTAGACGCCCTTCAAATGCAATACACCGTGACGCTAGTGATGATGACGACAGCAGTGGAGACAGCGACAACAGCAATGCCGACAACAACGCTTATGGCATACAGCCTTTCAACTGTCTTCACCCCAATTACCCTGAAACCCCACACCAATTTAACCAACCGTTCCTCGAACACGAAAGCAATCACGTCTGTAAACACTGCGACGCAATTTTATGGAAAGAAGAAAAGCACACGTACAACTGCTGTAACCGCGGCCGATCTGCAATGCCGCGTCTTCGTCCAATTCCTTCCGAACTACTAACTGTGTTCGGCTCAGCCAGATTCCGTTCAGCACAAAGACGATACAACAGCCTGTTTGCATTTACTGGGTTAGGAGCAGGAGGAATTGAAAAGCGTAGTTGGACTCAGCCTTCTGCTCCCTCCATGCTGACCCTTCACGGACGAGCGTACCACAGGATATTTGATTTGCAGGAGCAGTACACGGACATGAACGTGACAAACAACGCCAGATTTTATATCTACGACTCAGAATTCAATTCCCAATCAGCGTCACAACACCTTGACAGTCAAATATCTAATACTCTGCGCCAACACGTCAACACCAACATTCCATGGGCGACACAATACCGTTCAGCCGTTAGCATCATAAATCAGACACCCGACGACAGTTCCGACAAACCGTACATCGAGTTTGCCCAAGTGAGTCGTGCAAATGACGGACCAGTTGTAGGTGACGCCATATGCGCCCCAGAGATTGCTGCATTGGTTTACAACTCAAACACACAGAACAACGGACCACGCACCGTTGTGACATACCCAAGAAACAGTCCCGACAACAAACCAAGATTCTTGCCGCTTTGGAGTGCTGGATACGAAACTCTTCAGTTTCCCATGTTGATGCTGCACGGAGAGGCAGGTTGGAGTAAAGGAAACCAAGAGGAAAACCCTCCGTATAAATCAAAAACAATGAACAAGACAAATGACGCGCATGTCACTTTCCCCTTCTATTGCCGGCAACGACTGCTTTGCGAACCGATTTTTAAACGAAACTGTCGCATCACTCAAGAATGGGCTTGCGACTCCTTGAGTAGAATGGAGGAGGAGCGGTTAACTTTTGTTGAGCACGGCCCTCTACAACGCAGACTCGCCACAGATCGATCCATTCGACAGAGTTCCTCAGACTCACAGCCAGGAAAACTGCTTCCAGCAAGTCACCCAGGATCCATGAGCAAACGCAAGTCTGACACAGAAGATGCGTTGGCAATTGTCAATAGAAGAGGAAAGCCTCACTTATTCATTACCGTGACGTTCAACGCAGACTGGAAAGAGGTGAAAGACAACCTTTTGAACGGACAAAGCGCATATGACCGTCCAGACTTATGTTGTCGGGTTTTCAAGGTGAAGCTGAATGCCTTGATGAAAGAATTAAAGAGCGGAAGGGTTTTTGGAGAATATGACAGCCATTTAAGTGTAATCGAATTCCAAAAAAGAGGGTACCCACACGCCCACATCCTCATGACGTTTAAAAATGGAGGACCCGACCAATTATACCAGATGGATGAATGGGTATGGGCCCAACTTCCCAGCCCCGAACTTGCAAACGGCATTCTCCGAGAAAAGGTACTAAAGTACATGATTCACAAGCCGTGCGGAACACACAACGTCAACTCTCCATGCATGGAAACCAACCGCGACACCAACAGAAGACAATGTAATAAACACTATCCTCAGCCTTTCAGAAGCACGGCAACAATCAACGACCGATCAGGGCGTGCGGAATATAAGCGAACCGACAACGGAGACAACCCTACCATACGCGTAAGAGTTGACGGTAAATGGCAAGATGTCAAAATCGGCAATGAGTGGGTCGTACCCTACAACCCGTACTTACTATTGATGTTTGATTGTCACATATGTGTGGACGTTGTGACTGCCACCTCATGCGTAAAATACCTGTTCAAATACGTACACAAAGGTGCCGATTACGCAAAAGCTAGAATCCAAGGTATTACCAGCGAGATAGAGCAGTACCGTAAAACTCGATACATCTCTGCAGCCGAAGCTACATGGAGACTGCTAGGATTTCAAATGGTCAGTAGGTTTCCTGCAGTCACAAAGGTGCACGCGCACTTAGAGGGCGACCAGTACGTCACATACCCCGATGATGCAACCCCAGAGCAGCGCCTTCAAATTGCCGAAGACTCTCCTTCTGCTCTAATGACATACTTCAAAAGACCGACAGACGACGTGTTCACACCGCAAACGCTACTAGACTACTATGAAAAAAACACCGTCACCAAACCCAAAAAGGGACAAGAAAAGCCTACATCTGCGCCTCCAGGAAAGTTCTTAGACACCTACGGCAATATCATTTCATGTAGATCTGAACGTAACCAACATGTATGTCGAATTGTCTTCCAGAGCCCTGCGGTTGGAGACTTATTCTACCTACGTCTACTGTTGCACACAATACCGGGAAGATCTTTCAACGACCTGCTTCTCGAGCCTCAGCCCAACTCCATTCCATTTCAACACGCAACCTTCCACGACGCTGCGAGAGCAAGAGGATTGGTGACTGGTGACGAGGAATACACAATTTGCATGGAGGAAGCAGCCTCTTTCCAAGTGGCAAACCAACTTCGCGCTCTATTCGTGACCCTTATCTTAGACGGTGGTTCAGCACCAAAATTGTGGTCAGAATTTGAACCGAATTTGATCGAAGATTTTGCCCTAATCATGACACAAGAAGAAGCCATCCAAGCAGCACTTTGCGAAATCGACTTGAAGCTTCAGTTGCACGGGAAAAACAATGAGCAAGTCAACCTTCCTGCGGCTCGCCACTCAAGGACCGAACTCGAAAGAATGAAAGAATCTTTTGACGTAAACACGTGCAAAGAATACGCAGACACTCACGAGCGAAATCTCACTGTAGAACAATACCACGTTTACAACACAGTTATAGCCTCTGTCAACAATGAACTAGGCAAACCTTTCATGATTGATGCACCCGCAGGCACAGGAAAGACGTACACGGAAAAATGCCTAGCTGCAAAACTACGAGGCGAAGGGAAAACAGTATTGATTGTCGCCTCCACTGGAATCGCCGCGCTGCAGCTAACGGGAGGTTGGACAGCTCACTCAATGTTTAAACTCCCAATGGACGAAAACATGTCTCCTTCCTGCGTCTGTAACATAAACGCCCAAACACAAAGAGCTGAGTTAATACGCCATGCAGACCTCATCATATGGGATGAACTACCGATGACTCATCGTTACTGCGTTGAAGCTCTAAATAGAACCCTCAAAGACCTCATGCGAAACGATTTACTTTTCGGTGGCAAAACCATCCTGTTCTCAGGTGATTGGAGACAGACTGGACCTATCGTTAAATTTGGATCTCCCACAGACACCGTAGACGCCGCAGTGATATCAAGCCAACTATGGAACAGTATCAGTCGCCTCAGGCTTACCAAGTCTCAAAGAGATAAAGACGACCCAGCGTACGCCTCTTTTGTCAGAAAAATTGGTGAAGACAAAATACCGTCCACATCCATGCCTGACGGAACCAACCTTATCCCCCTCAATAACCACTCTACAGACTGCCCTGACAAATTTCACCTGCAATATAAAACCGACTTCAACGAATTGGTGCATTTCGTTTACCCCAACATGTCCGACGACGCAACCACATGGAGCGATCGCGCCATCTTAGCCACAACCAACAACGCTATTGATCGATCAAACCAAATAATTGCTGATGAACGTCCCGGTCGTTCAGTATCGTTTTACAGCTCAGATTCTCTCATCAAAGACGCAAACTCAGCACCCACAGCTTTCGCTGCCCCTGAACATCTAAATCAACTAAACGTCTCAGGTGTACCTCCTCATGAGCTAAAACTCAAGTCAAACGGCCTCGCCATGATTGTTCGAAACCTCAACTTTTCTGAAGGCTTGGTGAATGGACAAAAGTGCATAATAAAAGCAGTGTCTCCAAACAGTCGTGTAATTCAAGTCGAACTTCTTACCGACGAACACCCTCGACCCATAGTTTTAATCCCAAGGATAAATTTCCCTGCACAAGTTGGAAGAAACGGCATAAACTTCATGCGTGTTCAGTTCCCTCTCCGAACTGCATATGCCATGACTATTAACAAGAGCCAAGGACAAACACTAACAAGAATTGGACTAGATCTTCGTTCTTCACCCTTTGCCCACGGTCAACTGTACGTTGCCTTAACTCGAGCTCAGAAAAGATCCACGGTAATGGTGCTTCTGCCCCATCCTCAAATAGTGGACGGACTACCTTACACTGAAAATGTGGTCTACTCTCCTTTCATTGAGGCCGCCACAGGCGACACAAACAGCATATCGCCCACCACCTCCGAAACTCCTGCTGCTGCAGGAGCCCCAACGCTACCGACTCCGCCACCTCCACCTGCACCTGCGCCATACTGGATAATCCAACCCGAATTGGGAGATGGAAACTGCGGGTTCAGAGCCATAGCCAGGCATGTCCTCGGCGATCCTGACCTACACCTACATATTCGAACTCAAATTGTGCAATACATATCAAGCAACAGACAAAACCCCAATCTACACATTTACAACGGCATTCAATCTGAACTGCTTTATAGTGCAGGCTCTTACCCTTTTCATTATTATTCCTATGACGACTACGTCGCCAAAATGTCATTGCTTGCAACATATATGGGTCAGCCTGAAATTACTGCCGCCATTGAAATATACGACATGCCCATACATGTACACTTCAACAATACGACCTTACCTCTGCCTCAACACGCGCTGCAAAACGAACTCCATCTAAAATTCACGCCCAACAGTCGTCATTACGAAACCTTCATACTAATGACACCTCCCCCCTCCGTACCCCAAAATTAACCAGGATGGACCCTTCATCTGCACAAGGCGCGCCTTTGACCTACGACGAACTCATCGTCGAGGCGGAACACGTCAACGACTACCAATACAATGAAGTTCTCCTCCTTCGCGAATACGAAGAAGAACAGACGCAATTTGAAATATACTGCCAAGATATGTGGCGTTGGTTTCAAAATTATGTGCCGTCGTGGGCACCTTTCAACTAGACCACGACTTTGTTCGTGGAATGCAGGAATAGTGCTTAGACACAGTATTTGTTGCAGGATCTATACCCAAAATTATGGCGTTGATTTCAGAATAGTGTGCCATCGTGGGAACCTTTAAACTAGACGACGAACTTCGTTCGTGGAATGCAGGAATAGTGCATAGACACTGTATTTGTTGCAGACTCTATACCCAAAATATGTGGCGTTGGTTTCAGAATAGTGTGCCATCGTGGGAACCTTTCAGCTAGACCACGAACTTTGTTCGTGAACTTTGTTATTAGAATGCAGGAATAGAGTGTCCTGCTTTTGTTGCAGGCTCTTTATTACCATTCGTCGGCACCTTTCAGCTATAGACCACGAACTTTCATCGTTCAATGTAAGAATAATGCATAGACACTGTATTTGTTGCAGGCTCTATAGCTTTCGCAATATCCTACATGACTCAGCGAATACGTAAATGATGATCTTACCTTCAATTAGCACAATTCACAGACTTTCTATCAGATATCCATTCGGCGCCATCGCCGCAGCTTCGCACAGAATGCTCATAACTTGCATACAAGCTACATGCAACGCAGCATCACGTTCATACACCACTTGGTACGACCTCATCCCCTGCCACAACTCCCGACCTCCATTTCTAGCCTCTACTGAGGACGGGGGGGCCGTTGGCCCCCGCGTCCGGGGCCCTTGTAACCCCACGAATAGTCTAGAAAACACTGCTACGACAAAACCACCACAAAGGGGTAGTCCAGCGACAGGGTACATCCGACCGGCACACAAAACAAGAAACTCATGATGCATGCTCACACGAGCAATGGTACTTGAACTAGCTTCTCCCTGAGACCTTTCCATAGCACAGACACGTCAAGCATGAATTGCATGTAATGTGTACGACGAGATGCACCTCAAAAATAGCAAACCTTTTCTCGACACGCCGCGTTCGAATCCGAATTTCTTTCAATCCCGGTACACAACTGGACAAACACGAGTAGAGATGGACAAGGCTTCGTCGTCGTTGCTTTGTATGTGTTCAAAACGAGGTCACATCCCAGGCTGTGATTCTGCGGGGGGAGCAACCAGGATTTCGCCAGATCGAGCAACAACAGGCAAAGTGCCCACTCGTGAGGCCACTGGAAGCAACGGACCACACGGGAAAACACGCCGCCCTCTCTATCTCACCGATCGGAGAGGTTGGACTGCAGACACCACGTAATTTTGGAAGCCGCGCGGATAATAAGGCCTCCTATCACCGCTCTCTGTCCTGCGCACATCCCGCCTTCGGCCGCCGCTGCCAGCAAGTCGTGTAGATGTTGCCGACAGGTCCTCATCTGAAGGGGGCGACTCCGGCACGAATTCCAGGTCCCTTGCTGTCTCTCCTGCGACTCATTATGCAGCAGGTCCAACGCGCCCATGACGAGCATAATATGCACGAGCTTTTGTCCCTGAAGACGACAAAACATCGAAAGAAATAACGCGTTTATCGCAAATGTGGAAGGAACAGCAGTAGTGGAGGGAACGATGAAGTAAAGTATCTAAACCCGACCTGTTACGGGTAGCCAACTTCGTTTCAGACGTTCCGTAAAAATTTTCGTGCAGTTTGGAGGGCACACAAGGAGCGAAACTGTAGGAAACCTCATCACCGCCGTAGTACTTACTACCGCACGAGGCTCGGCAGAGGCCGGATGAGACAGCTTGAGCCTACCGCTGATGCCTGCTGCTTTTAATTTTTTTGACATGCTGTTGTAGCCGATACGCGTTTCTTTCACCCGTAATATGTCTTGGAGGCAGTTCGAAGGAGAAACCTGGAGGGTAAAATTATCATCGCTACACCGTAGGTGCGACTTGGTTCGGGGGCGGACAAGAGCCAACATTCACTGTTTTCACTTGTCCGACGGACCTCTCTCTATCTCACCGCCCACTTCACCGGTACCCGACAGCGGACGACGGGAGCTCGTCCTTGACACCAGACAAATCAGGTGCACCCCGCAGGCACAAGGGAAGCTATTTCGGTGAGGTGTTCCTCTTGTCCGTCTCACACGTCGGATGTGGAGTGTTTGGCAGAGGGGGAGGGTGTGCGTAAGTTGTAAGTGGGGGAGTACCCGCCCCATCGTCTCAGAACATACGTCCACCTATTTCAGGCTGAGGTGCACCAAACACCCTACCTAGTTGCACCGAGCGATCACTGATTTGACAACAACACGGGAGCCTTTGAAATATCAATTTTTTAGAGGGACAGTGATTTCAGCACCCCAAATAGTGCGTTGTGTTTCGGAGCTAAGGATTGTTGCTGCCGCACAAGTTTTTTTTTAAACTCCCTCACCGAGTCTAGGTATCCAACGTACCGTGTTCAGGTCCTACACATCCCATGAAAATCGCTGTCAGGATGGCCCGAGTCCGCATGAGATAGCCGCAGGGGCCGGCGGGGATGTGGGGCTGGAAGCACAGAGGCCAGTAAGAGGGACACAACGATCCGGATTCAACCCTGGGCGGCAGGCCAGAGGTTCGCGGGAAACACGAGCAAACACGGAACGAGAGAGTGAGTGGCAGCCACAGCCGAACCAAACAGCCGTGTTCCCAACGGCAATAGGGCACGCACCAAGGAGCGTCCAGCGATGCATGAGCGAGCAGCAGCAGGACTGTCGCTCGCTTGAACCGCAGACATGGCGGTGAGGGGGGCGCGGCAATAGAGTGGGGGGTATAGCAAGAAACCGTCCGCTGATGGGTGGGCACGCGGGGTTGCTCGGGCAGCAGGGGAGGCAACAGCGGCAGCGGCAGTCGTACGTGTGGAGGCGACTGTGAGGGACACGGACGAGGGACGAGGGTGGGTTCTCGGTACCACACAGCCGTAGGATGAATGGAGGGGAGGAATCTGACGAGATTACCTGAAAAGGGCGAATGCGCGCATGAGGTATCGATGATGATAGTAGACAGATGTGTCGGAACAACCACCGACGCCTAGATGGGGAGATGTTTTAGCTGGTGCGGATAGCGGAAACAGGGACTCCGTGCTCGGTCGTCCTTCCGAAATTAACGGGAGGGCGGTCTGACACATGGACTCGGTCACGGGAACCAGCTGGGCGTCGAGGTGTGGGTGGGGTCGTTACAGAGAAGGTTGCGATTAATGCCATAGCGGGTGAAGAACAGTCTCGTGCACAGGGGAACGAGTTGTCTTGTTCCGGGATGCCTATTGCGGGAGTGAATTCGGGTGTCACCCGAATGTGGAGCACTGGTGGGGGGGTGTACCCATAGTCGTGCATGCCGTAGTCGTTAGACCATTGACCTCGCATCCCTACAAAGCCGGGACGGAGCACGCCGGGTTCTCACCGGACCAGGCTCTCACATCACCAAGCGCGAAGCGCCGTGAGATATTCGGCGAGTCGCATGAAGGGTGCGCTGCATCCTGCTAAGGGTGTTCGGCATCTTGTGCTTACTTCCTTGCGTACGGATGACAGCTGCGTATGACTTAATTTACTTTCTGGTGCTTTCACTTCCAGAGACAGTTGTAAGCACTGTGTAACTGCCTCGAGGGTGCTTGACCATTTAAGAGGGGGAGGACTTGTTTTACAACGTCGTTGCCAAGCGACGAAAACCCAACCCCGATGGCCAACACCGGGGGGGGGGGACTGGTGGGGGTGATAAAAATTGATGGCGGTACGTTTGGTGCGGGGAGCAGTGAACCAGAAAATTCTGCCAAGACGTCGGAGGAGCTGCAGGCATGGCTGGTGTCGTAGGAAGTACCGAGCTGTACATTTGGTGAATCCTTGCGCTACTCGCGAAATTTCCGTTGAGGAGAACTTAAGGGCAGGCAATGGACGTGGACGGAGCTTTACGACAAATCTCCATCGACTGTTGGGGGCGGGTAAGACTTATGTTGTGGTGTTTGGTTAGGGCGTACGCTTGCCTTGTGGCGAGAGGCGTTGTCCTGGCCGATGGGAGCAGCAGCAATATAATCACGACAACGTTATATTAACTAATTGTTTCACCGCCAGGGTGAGACCCGTCCAGCACGTGACGATAGCACCGCCAACTGGAAACTCGTGGTATTGCAGCCGGCAGAGGTGATACGGTAGCCAGCGGCAGACGGGGAGACTGGACACCCCGCCAGCGGATCGGCTTTATCATCGATGGCACGATACCGATCGGGGTGATGTCGGAAGATGTTGGGTCACGAAACCTTGGCTTGTTCCAGTTTCTTGACTCTAGACATGACGGGAAGCCACGAGAGACGGGAGGTGTCTACAATGATCAAAGAGGCAGGAATGCCTATTGGTGGCATTCTTTGGTGGCAGGGGTGGGTCTGAGGCGGTGCAAGATACAACACGCGCAATAGGCACGTGAGGTGTGGAGAAGCAAAGGGACGGGGATAGTGCGGACATAGGAATCAAGGAGTTCTTGTGGCATGAATTGCGCAAGTGGGGGGGAATTCGGGGGAGCACTAGGTTGACGGCAAATTGAATCCCAGAGGACTACTTGTTTGTGTGTGGGGAAATACTTTTTCCAATGGAAGCACCCGATGAGCGTCACGAACGATGGAGTTACATCGAGATGATTCTTGATGAGAAGCTTAATTGCTCTTTCGCCCCCGAAGCCTCGAGAGAACTCGGAGGCAGCGAACCCTTGAGAGAAACGACACGCCGCCATGACGGTCGACGCCGTGGTCGCCTACGGCAACGCCCGTTGCGCCAGAGCCGGCCGCGTCGTCACTCCGCCGGCCGCGGTAGTGCCACTTGCGACCCAGCCGGACCTGTTTTCTTCGCGACGCTCGTGCCGTGATCTGGCCAGTCCAAACCTCTCGCACCCTACACGGCCGCCCGGTTGTTTACCCTGGATGAGCTCAGTGTGCCAATGGGTCACGCGTGTGCTACGGTTATTCCGTCTGAATCCCATTGAAGAATTGAGACTGCCTGTTCGGGGTTCGACTGCCTGGCCTGACGATTGCGAGGGTTTTGGACTCGCGGAAAATGCTGGCGACGGCAACGGCATTCTACAGGTTCGCCCGGAAGCCAGATCGACCTCAGCTACGACTCCAACGCGGACTTCCTTGGGGAGCTCCATCAATGGCTGGCGCTTTCTGCCCTTCCCACGAAGAGCGATGGCGGCACGAGCGGCGCGTTTTTTGCCTCTCTTTCTATCGGGTCTTCCGACGCCTCCTGCACCGGATTTCGGGGAGGGGGGGGGAGGTGACGGGCGAAGGTCCTTTTCGAGTGGAAGAAGTCTTCACGCGTGACGTGTTGTCCAAGCTCGTCATCAACAAGTACGAGGTGTTCGCCCTCTTTCACCTCATCCCGCAGTTTGATACCATAGGTACGAGGTTCTCTGATGCTTTGCGTCGTGCACAAGTGCGGGTCGCCGGCATCAACTAGTCCGTAAGGGCGCCGTTCAACCGCGGCAGCGGCCGCGACCTTGAGCCAGCGCGTCTTGTTGGTGCAGCTGTTCGATTTGCCGTTGTCGAGCACGAGCTTCTCGTAGAATATCTTGTTGCTCAGGTGGGTGCCAACTGCCGACAACGGGTCGACGGATACCTATTAGCTTCAGACCATCCAGTGACTTGGTGCCTTCCCGTGTCCATAGCAGTATTTTCGCATCCACGGGCCCCCTTGACCAGTTTTGTCGCCCCTCTCGCCTCGCCAATGGCCCGATGATCATAAAATGTTCCACGTTTGTCCTCCCTTCCTTTTTTTGTCGACCCACCGCATGTTTTCGAGCGAAAACTGTGCAACAGGTGAGACCGCGCTACGTGCCAGGAGCATGCTTAGTTTAGTGCGTGGGAACCGTACACCGATCCGTACACGAAAAGTGTACGCTTCCCGATCAATCAGAATCCGTCCACTTTTTTTGTAAGAACCGTGCACAGTGTTTTTCAAGTGTTTTGGACGGTTGGTGTATGCATGAAGGGAACGGGAAACTTTGTACCTGGTACGCCTTTTAGCCGGCCGTTTATATAAGGTCCAGGCCCTTGAAGAAACGAGACTGGACGGATCATAATAAAATACGCAACCCTTCTACCACAGATCGGCACAGTCGGCAACCTTCACCCTTTCCATAACCCCACCGTTCCGCCGCCCCTTGTCCCCCGACCAGACGACTGGCGTCAACTTTTTTCGACTACTACGGGCTGTCAAGGTGCGAGAACCAGTAGGTAGCACGAGGCGGAGACGGACAGCTTTCAAGACCTTCCTGTTCTTCGTCCTCCGAGACCTCCATCCCCCGTGCAGTAGTGAACCAAGACATGTTGGATTCGCGGCCAGACGGTGTTGTGGCACACCGTAGGCGACAGAGGATATCCCCCCCCCGCGCGCGCGACCCGAGACATCCCCCGTGCCCTCTTGTTGAGTTCAAAGCCGGGGAATATGGATCGGGTATACGTCTTACGTCCTTAGCTGGAACTCATGTGTGGTTTTCTCAAGCTTGCGGAGACTGATGATGTCCTCCAACAACCACACGGAAAATTTGGTCTTGTGAGATGCCCATTTGTAGTTTGAAGTTGAACCAGAAGCGACATTCAGGCATCCAGGCAAGGCGTGGGCGGATGCACGTCTGCATGGGTCTTCCTTGTTTTCGTTGGTACGCCCCGCCTGCTCTGTTTTTGTGTTTGCCGTAGAACAAGACGGCTCGCCCCTGGGCTGGGCAGCGTTGTCGTCGGTGGTAGGGTTGAAAAGGTTCGTTTCGGAGAATCGGCGCTTGCTACTGTCGACCTACAATACCCTATGCTCAATATGTTCGTAGTAGGTTGCAGTGTTTGCTCCGTTCCTGGGCATCGAATAATGTACAGCTCGCGAGACAGCGTTTCCTACCCCCGCGGCTGGGTGTTGCTCATACTTTTCTTGGAGCAGCACCTTTCTTGAGGTAAAAGACGAGCCAAGGCGGCGTGATGTTTCGGGGTGTTGCGGCTTGCGGTGTGTACACGGCGGTTAACGATTCCACTGCTGTGCCCCGATTGTTTCGTGCCACAAGTGTCAAGGGGTGCACCCCTGGTGGTGCACAGGGTGTGCCGTACGCGCATAACCAAGCGTGCACCTATGTACGGCCATCAGGCTTTCTGGATTTACCTTGTGATTGGTACGTAGTCGGAGATGAGGCTGAAAGAGTTTTCCTTTAGAACCAAGTCTGGTCGCGCACCCCTAATCCACGCGCACACGACGGCCCTCTCTTTTACTGATGTATTCGAGGTACCCTACGCCTGATTGATCAACTTGCTCGTAGCTTACTCTACCCCGGCTCCCTGTTGTCTACCCATCCGCCCGGCAAACCGAGTGATAGGATAAATAACCGAAACATGAGATTGCAACTTCACGAGTTTGTTCTGCCACTCATCACACGCTTCGTACCCACCACCGATCGATCTGTCGGAGCCACCGTCAAGAATTATGTGCATCTCGACACTGCTCGGATCAAGAAAAGAAAACGACAAAGCGCTGTGAGCGGCGCGACCTTTCGTCGTCTTGCCCTCGCGGTGCCAATCGCAAGCGTTGAGGCACACTCGCTTCAAAAGAATTCACCCACTGTAAGGTAGACATATCGTGTTACAACCCTATCTTCAACACGCATGCTCGGACAGGGCCACTAGCTCCTTCCGCGTTAAGTCAAAATCTAAGATAATGACGTCAACTGAAGTCACCGCCTACCCCTCTCCTCCCCCCTGTCTCCCTTCTCGCAAGCAATTAGAAGGGCACGGTCGCATAAGTCACAACTATCAACTGCTTTGCGAAGTCAACGAGAGGACCACGCACTACTAGATACAGTAACAACGCCTCCATCATTATCAGCAGCAGCAGCAGCAGCACCGGAACCTTTCAACGGGCGACCTAGTTAGTGCCTTTTTGACGTTTGAATCTTGCTTCCAACCGTACGGTTTTCTACATCAGCACGCCTGTCATGCCCCCCCCTCCCGTCCAACCGATTCACGGCTCTCGGTCTGTGACCGGGGATTATGGTGACTCTCTCTGTCACTTTCGTTTGGTGTATGTTTCACACGCTCCCTTCCATACCCTGCGACCAATCAAGCATCGTAGGCGATGGTAAATGATATCATGAAGCGTGTCACAACGCCCTATCGTAAATCTAGCGACCCCAAGCACATAGACAGACAGCGACAGACAGACAGACAGACAGACAGATAGACGGAAAACTCAATATCTCGTAACAAGAACAGAAATTGATCGAACCCTCCCTATGTATCAACTTGCATCACCACGCCAAACACGCGACCAACCCCAATGAAAGCTCTTCACACTGAAAAGAAATAATAGAAGGTGGCAACATATTGCTCCCCGCTCTAATAACACGCACGGCTGTTGCATGCTGGCCGAACCGTAGACTAACCCAACGCAAGTTCTTCCATGTGCCAGGGTACGGAGACATTGCGACCGCTGTCATTCGCCTACACCAACGACGTTGTCCTCGTTTTGCGGCTAGTTCTCGGCGGTTTCGGTTTTCAAATATAATGATCCGGTGAGCTCTCCTCCCTCTACTGGTGCCCGAATGAGGCAATTATTTGGACGGCAAGACTAGAGAAAATAACAAGGCTGCTCCGTCAAATAAACCGAACCTAGAAGAAGACCACTCGAAGGAAAAAAAAGTCAGGAAAACTAAAGAAGACAAAAAATAGGTGTATCAATCTGCGCCACGTAAGGTGAGCCAGTTGACCACGGACGAACCCAATCTTGGCTTCGAGCAGGGCTGCTATTCATCCTCAAATGAGCGCTTTTCTTCTTCCCTGACTCCCCTCCACGATCGATCGTATTCCATCGATATTGATCGGTTTGTCTCTTGCGAAAAACACCCTGTTCCCACATCCACACTCTAGCTTCTAGAGGAAAAAGGTCGTTCTCGTGCCGAAGTGAGCGTCGAAGTGTGTGCAACGGCAGCGACGCGCGAGTTGGGGAAACCAATACCAGCAAGCGGCAACAAAAAAAGCACTTAGCATCTCGCGACCTTCCTTACACCAAAACAAAAAAAATGACAAAGAAAATCTAAGGTGGTAGTCGGTTCTCCCAGCGACGACGCTGCACACTGTACCGGCGCCCTCCGCCGACCAGGCTCTTGCATTCATCAGAGTTGTAATATCTTGCTCCCTCTCTCTGATTCCTGATGTCGATCTCGCTGCCACGAGGAAGCCTTCCCTCGCCGTCCTTTGCCCCTCGCCTTGTGCCGCGTCTTTACTGTGAGATCCCCCCTTTCTCCCGTCTTTAGTAATTCGTCATGACGTCAAGCCTTCACCCCCCCACCCTCCGTCTCCCCATGACCTTAAACGAGGGCTGATCTCGCAGCAATAACCCCTCAGAGGTTTCCTCGAAGACCGGCTACGCTAACCAGCCGTGACGAGCCTCCCCTCCATTCTCCTTCCTTCTGGTCTAGTTGAGAGTTTTTTCTCCTCTCGCTCTCTCCTCCGGAGTGCGCATGGACGAGCGACATGAAGCGGCCAAGCACAAGTGATGCCAGCCCAAGGCCTTCATCCTAAGGAAGAATCCCGCGATAGAGATCAGCCCCGTGCAACCAGGCCCAGAGTTCCAATACTCTCATCGCGTCCGACCCATCATCAGAGGACGAGCTCGCGGATAACGACGAAGATGACGTAGGCCACGTACAAGCAGAACAGGAAGATCCCCATCTTGGTGTTCATGGACCAGTCGTTCCAGGCCAGCACAGACACGAACAGGACGGCCGTGCAGAACAGGATGATCACGTTGAGGGCGATGCCGTTTCTGTCCACCGTCATGGGCTCGCCCTTGATGATCCCCCGCAGGAACCAGGGAAACCCCAGCCCGATCAGCACGTCGAAGACGTTGCTCCCGATCGCGTTGGCGATGGCCATGTTCGCCTCCCCACTACGCGCGGCGATCATGGAGCCCATGGCGTCCGGCACGGACGTCCCGATGGCCAGGACCACCAGACCCATGAAGATCGGGCTCACTTCGAGGAAGCAGCCCAGGCCGTTGACCCATTCGACCATGTAGTGAGTCAGCACCCCGATCCATGCGAGGCTCATGAGGAAGGACACGACGTACCACTGTTCCCACCTCGGCTTGCCGCAGTCCGGGATAGTGACCGACAGCGCCACCAACATCGGCAACCCCAAGACGAAAAGCACCTGAAGTGTAGGTAGGGCGGGGGGAGGGGTCCGGTTAGGTTGGTGCAGGCAAGAGGCGGAGTTACGCTTGTTCGAGGTGAGGCGTTTAGTACGGGAATCAATAGTTGTGCTCCCGCTGATGCTGAGGGTGTTGCTGCTATTGCAATGGTGTAGTCAATGGCCTGTGCTTTAGCCCGGCGACAAAACCGAAGCATCTTGCACAGATGAGGGGCTGAAAAACGCAAACCCGTTGATTCAATAAACGACAAACTGACGGGGAACGATTGACTGTGGTGTTTGGTCGGAGACGGTGAGTATTCTATCGGTTCTGTCACAAAACTTCCTATACACGGGGAGGGTTTCAGTGCACGTGGGCCTACAGTACATACTAAGCGTTAATACTTGGCGTCGAAAATCGATGCGATTCGTGTGACAGGGTGGGGAAAACGTCAAGAGAACTTTTCGATCGACACCTTCACCCTTCAACCCCTCGAAAGACCTGAACGGTTGGTCAAACTTGAGACCATCTCGGGTACTTTGGTAGAACAAAGATCGATAGGACCATGATCGTAGATCGAATACGGACACGTGCAACACCGCCAACGTGGAAACCGGTTTCGATCAGCATCAAGGTTCCCTCCCTCTGAGTGCCTCACTCTCATTGTAACTTCGGAACGGAAAAAACTGGAGCGCTACGGCATTTCTCAAGCAGCGCATGTGATACCAAACGGCAGCAGTGTTTCAGCACGTGCCCCACGTGGAAACTGTTCAGAAGCACGACAACCACTGGACTACCAGCCAGCTAAAGCTGACAGTCAGCTGCTGACTGGTGGTCCGGTGGGTGTCGTGCTTCTCAACAGACAATCCGGGTACCGTTCCCCGCCATACCAATGTTCTCCACCACTCTGTTGCAAGAAATATGCTGATAGGTTTCCGTGGTTTCTCCTAACTTTGCTTCGTTGTCATCAAGACGGCCTAAACGAGCAAACGGGAGGCAACTATGTAAGGAGCTGTGCAACTATTTGCTGCCTGTGGGATCCACGCCGGGGCAGTCTTTTGCGTCACTCAGTTGTCCGATATTGTGAGCTTTCCCGTGGAAACAAGTGTAACCCCGACAAGACTCACGCAGATCGTAAGTATCAGTGTGGGGGTGGTGCTGGTCCGCTGTTTAGTTGCTGGAGTGCCGCGATTGTAGTCTTTGCAGGTGCAACGCGTTACGGCCATATTTGTGCGAGGGAGAGCTCGAAGGTTCCCGGCTACCAGACACTCAATCTACAAATCGTCGAGAGAGGGGCGAATAAGCGTTTTGGCGAAAGCAATTTCTCTGCTTTTGCGAGCGATGCATGATCGACACCTCATCGATAACAAAGGGGAGATCCTGGATGCCAGCTGCCACGATGCAAGGCATTGTCAATTCACCTATATTCTCCTAGAGACCCGTATACGTGCGTATGACCCCAATTTGCAAAAGTGTAGACATTTTAAAAACAACTCTGTTCGGTTGTTTACCACCGCGATGTGATGTGAGATGATGGCCTAGGCTACTAGTTGCGTGGCACGACGCAGAATAAGTGGTGTGGTGGCAGCAGAAATGATTGAAAACAGCAACAAACGCATGAACCTGCACGTACAGTACTTGTGGGGACTCGAATCGTGTGCTGCCGAGGCCATGCCGTGAACAAGCAATTAGTCTCTCCTACATGCAAGCTCACCTGATCGACACGATTTTCTGGCCACGCAAAGCGGTCTTCTTCCGGCTCTTCCTCATCCCCCATTTTCTTCCCTTCGCCAGCCGCCGCCCCCACAGACGACCCCTCTACGGCAGCACCGGCAGCTGAAGCTTTTCCCTCAGCGCCACCGTTTTCCTCGTCGGCCGTGACCTGGTTCTGATCGCCAAGGACAAGCGGTTTGTGCTCGTCCGACCCTGTGGTCATGCCGGAGCCACTCATTCTCTTTTCGACCCTGTTGCGGATGCCAAGGGTGAGCGACTTTGGCGTAGGGTTGGCTCCTCCGGCCGCCGCCTCCGCCTCTGCGCCCTGCGCACCAACACCCGGCGCTCCTTCTGCTGCTGTGGCTGCGTTGTCTTGCGGGAGCGGCGCCACCTTCGCAGTATCTTCTCCGCCACCGCTGGCGCCCGCCAGAGAAGATCGCTTGGTTCCGGTGACGGCCTCCACGGCGGCGGCCACGTCCGCGCCCGACACCTGTTGCTCGTCGGTGATGCCGATTCTAGGCGGCTGGCAGTGCGCGAGAATGCGCGAGTTGTACTTCATGAAGATGATGTACACGATGTAAGCGAGGAACATGATGAGGCCCTCCCACCACATGACCTCGCTGTCTATGAACACCAACCCCAGGACGGCAATGGAGAAGGTGTAAAAAACGATGTCTCGGCAGACCGGTCGCCAGTCGATGTGGATAGACCTCCCGCCGGTACCCGCAACTGCCGCCGAGAGCGCCACGATGACGAGGATGTTGAACATCGCCGAGCCGACGATCGTCCCCGTTCCCGTCGAGTTGGCTTCGCCAAACGCGTCTGCGAGAGACGTGAATAACTCTGGTGCCGAAGACCCGGCGGCGAGGAACGTCGCCCCGGCGACGTCGGGCGTGAGCCCGAGGACATCCGAAATCTTCTCAAGAGACGTCTGAAAGAATTCGTCGCACACTATCGCCAGCCCAAGAAAACAGTACACCACGCCGGTGATGTACAACACCGCCATGTTCCCGTTTACCACGCCCCCCGAGCAGGAAGCCGACGCCAGTATTCTCTCCATCGTGTGGTAAGCCACCTGTCCAACCCCCTCCTGACCCTCCCCACTACCACCGTGCTGCGCCGCACCCGGTGATCCCACCAATCTCGCCACGAGCTCGGTTCCGTCACCATTATCCCGCTCGACTCTTGTCCCTCGTCTGCCCCCGTGCTGCGCGCCGTTAAAAACGTAAAGCACGCCGAACACTCCAGCGCAGACCAACATCGAGCCTAAGACCAGGCGTCTCTTTAGCCTTCTCTTAGAAGGGAGCATTCTATGTCGTCGCATCGGGCGCTTCATCTCAATCGTAAAGTCGTTGCTCGAGTGACACGTCAACGCACAAGTTTGTGAAGGTACACTCCCGCCGGCCGGCAGAGGAATCCAGGCCGGCAGCAGTCGCCTCCGATTCTGTGGTTCTTCTTACTTTCCGACGGCCCTCTCGCTCGACTCCACTCCAAACGCGATGCTGAAATGTGTGTTTCTATTCATCGCCTGCGTTCTCCGCAGCTCCTCTTGATGTGCAACCCGAACGCGACGCCTTGTCCCCTCCTCGGGGACGAAGGTCGGGGCGGCAGAAAAAAAAACGTTTGACAGTTTCAGAAAAAAAAATAAGCGGCACGTGTTCCCAGAGACCAGAGACAGATCTGCATGTATGTGTCTTTACTATTAGCATCGACCGCGCTAACCGGCTGACCAATGAAAAGACGTCAGTATACATGCGTGCATGCATGTACGAGAGCCTGCACACCGCCGACAATACCCCTGGCAAACAATGTTCGGTGCGTTGTGTGAAGCAGACCATGGTGTACCTTTGGATTTCAAGGCACCCTCTAAAAACCCTTCCCTACAGTCTATATCCTCATCTAGATGCTGAATACTTCGACGGGATGTCCTGCACCCCATAATCGTGCGAATACAGACAAACAAACGTATCTATCTGGGTGTGTTCTCAAAACCCATAACTCATACCTCAAATTCCTTGTACGTAATAGTACGTACATTACATTCTGAAGTGCGCTGGAAAAGCTAGAAGCTAGATGTGGAACGACACATCAGGAAGTCGCTGATTCTCTTCGTCTTTCCGTACGCAATTTATACAAGTCCATACTACTACTGCTTGCAGAACTGCCTTACATGAAACTACATGTATATTTGATGCTTGATGCCTGCCTGTATTTTAGCAAACAGACTTGTTGTCTTCATAGCATCGTCAAGAAAAGCGATAATGTAGTTGGATGCCATGCCAAGGGAAACAAAATGCATGGTGCATGCCATGGGTTGGAATGTTCTTTCATGTGTGGATGATGGATCAAAAACTTACGTACCCTACAGAACGACTACCAAAGACGATGACAGCATAGACTAGAGAGTAGTGCGAATTGTTGCAGCCGGCATCACTGAGCCTTCACTGCAGTGAGGACTTCCACGCTGCCCTTGAACCCCGTCTTGAGCGGGTAAAATCCTCCTGTGACGTCCATGCATTTGCCACCCCTCCGTTGTATCACACCCACTTACTGCGATGAGAAGAAAAGCAACGTCTACAGCCCGAACCAAAAGGTGTGAGGAGTGAGTGTGGGTGTTCTCTCGAGAGCGATAGTCTGTGCCTCCGCGACAAAACAGCAGGGGCATCAGCGATATCACACCCTCTATAACGTGGTTCTACCATCTCCTCGGGACACCACCAACGGCAGCAAGAAACGTCTCCGTCCGGTCCCACCCTCCCCTCTTCTCCGGCAATACTCTTGAGCAGCTAGTCGAAGTCGTGCTGCGATGGATACCATATCGATGCCTCTGCCTAACCGACGTCTACCTAGGGAGGGCAAGAAGCACCTGCCGCCGCTGCTGCTGCTAGAGACCAACTGCCACAGACAACCGGTCGTGACCGATCGATCCCACCAAAAGTCCACTGCACAATTAATTGCAGCGTGTAGAACGTGCATGAGAGCGCCCCCCTCCCCCCGTCAACCGCTCGGTGAAAAACGGGCGGTTAGGAGCTGGGAGCCAGCCGCCCCACAAGCTCGACGGCACACTGTAACATTTTATTTGTGTTCGCCCCATCTATTCTGGGCGCCAGTATATACCTTTTGGTCTACACTAGGAGCAGAATGCGTGGTTTGAACGACATCGTCGTGAACAGAGCAGTCTTGGCACGCCACACGCGTACAAACACCGCTTGATGTTGCGCTTTCTTCTCCCGCTAAGGCCCTTTTCTACCGGTCACCGAGACCAAGCGGTCGATGCTGAAACACACAAACACGCACTCGCTTGCTCTTTGCTCCGTCCTTCCTCTACAGCTGCTCTGCTGCTGGGGCGCAAGCTAGACACGTACTTTCAGAGCACAGCGCAGTGGCCACCCCTTAGCGGCTCCTTCTCCTGCAGCTGCTCTGCCGCTGGGACGCAAGTGAAGCACGTACGCCCCGAGCACAGCGCATTGGCCACCTGTTGCTGCGTCCACTTCCTCTACAGCTGCTCTGCCGCTGGGGGCAGGCCAGATACGTACGTCCAGAGAACACGCACAGCATTTGTTGCCCCGTCCTTCCTCTACAGCTGCTCTGCTGCTGGCGCGAAAAACCACATACGTACGTCCACAGACCCAGATACGTACGTCCAGAGCACAGCGCAGCAGCCACCTCTTGCTCCGTCCTTGCTCTACAGCTGCTCTGCTGCTGGGGCGCAACCACACACGCACGCCTAGACAATCGAATGCGTCACGTCCAGGGCACGAGATACGTAAGTCCAGAGAATCAGATGCGTAAATACGTCAGAGCACAACGCAGTAGCCGCGTCTTGCTCCGTCCTTCCTCTGCAGCTGCTCTGCTACTGGGGCAAGCCAGATACGTGCTCCAGCGACCCAAATACGTGCAAACGTCCAGACAACAGCGCGGTCACGCCTCATGAACTCGGGGCGTGCCCGTTCGCGGCTGCACCGTGCCCGTTTGCAAGGTCGCCCTCCCCGTCTTCCGGCGGCCCGTCTGCATCATCGAACTGACCTGCTTCGCCACGAGAAGTTGTGACCCAATTCGTTCCGAGGATCCGGCGAAGGAGGATGGTCAAATTTTACTCTTCTAAGATAGGCACGGTAAGGACATATTGATAGCTTCTTCCGATATAAATCAGGGCACATGGGTGCGGTTATTCGTTTGCTCTTGAAGACCGAGCAGCCGATGTTGCAAAAAAAGGTACTGGATGCACTTGGACGTCCGAACAGGTTTTTCAAGCGAAGACGACGCCAACAACAACGACACCAACGAGACAGGAACGTTCATAGCAACAAAGCTCGACCCTTACCATTTGCAGCCTCCATTCCCTCCGGTACGACCAGAACGGAGTCCAGATGCGCTAGCACTCTCTCCTGCTCCNGGGGGGGGGGGGGGGGGGGGGGGGGGGGGGGGGGGGGGGGGGGGGGGGGGGGGGGGGGTACTCATTTGTTGCTTGCCGTAGTCATTTGACCATTGACCAACGCGAGGGGGGAGGGGGGGGTAGGGTAGGGTCAGGACTGGTGCCCCCCCCTACTACGCGTTCAGTCCATTACCCCGCCAACAGGGCAGTGGCGGTAGCACTTCTTCGAAACCAAGAAATTGTACAGAAAATGATCAATTCGTCTCACCCCGAAAGGGTCTACCAGTGCAAACCAAAAACATTGCGGTACCCAGGGGATAGCATTGCACTAGACTATCAAGCCCGTTCCCAACACACACACACACACCCTCCCCGTCGCCCCCGCAGTTCTTCCTGAACTCCTCAGTCTCGCCTGGGTCGTCATCCACCACATGCTTCGTGTACCCAATGAGAGTCTTCTCAGAAAAGCGGCAGTTCCGCACACGCACCTGCCGTGGTCGAACACCAGCCCCCCCCCGCCCCCCCCCAGCTCCTCCTCCTCGCCTGCCCCTGCCCCCTCATCCCCTGGCTCTGGATTCAATTCCGCCGCCTTGGAGAAGGCCTCGAAAAGCGCCTGGAGGGTCGCCGCTTCCCCGTCGCTTGGAGCAAAAAACGCCTCTTTCAGAACGTCTTCTTCTTCCACCGCCAGCTATTCATAATTTGTTTTGGTTCAATATCGGGGGCACACACCGCGGAGACAACAGGGAAGATCGCCGTGAATCGAACGAAAACGATGCGAGACACCTAACGGTTGCGTGAACACGTGAGGTGATGCAAGATGAACCAAAACAATCAAAACTCGTCGTTGCGCGACAGTGAGAGGTGCGCGACAATAATAATGCATACGTCAAAATGCAGTATTTCACCTGACAGTACATAGCGGGTCTCAAATCGTTCTTCACCTGACAGTAAATACATGGGTTCGGGAACGTTCCGGGGTCCTTGGATATGGCGTGAAGACAGATATACGCCACGTCGAAGTCGAATGCCTTCGACTGGTCTTCGCTGCTTAGCCACACCACTCGTCTGTAGATATCAGCGTGTGGGGGGTGGGGGGGG